TCTTTCTCCTAAGATAAAAAAACTTAGTCTGATAAATTTTTTCCTAGGATAATTAAAAAATAAAAAAAACAAAAAAAACCCAAAAACAAAAAATCCTTCTTGGTTCGTTTTAGCATAGGGTACACAATTTCCTAGTTTCATTTTCCAACATAGGGTCTCCACTCCCTAGTTGATTTTATTTTAGGGTCTCCACTCCCTAGTCTTCTTTTCTAACATAGGGTTTCCACTCCTTAGTTGATTTTATTTTAGACATAGGGTCTCCACTCCCTAGTCTCCTTTTCCAACATAGGGTCTCCACTCCCTAGTTAATTTTATTTTAGACATAGGGCCTCCACTCCCTAGTCTCCTTTCCAACATAGGGTATCCACTCCCTAGTTGATTTGATCTTAAATGCAAGGTACATCACTCCCTGATATCTTTGCCAATATAGGGTATACCATTCCCTGGCCATATTTTCCCAACATAATGTATACAAATCCTTAGTTGAGACATCTTTTTGACAATAAAGAAACACTATAAAAACAAAAACACAAAAAATCATCATGATCTTTTCAGGGTATACCATTCCCAACCTTTTATTGCTTTCAATAAAGAAGTAGTTTAGAATTTTGTTACAATAACTCACCAAATTTTCCTAGTAAAAACTGGGGCAGAAAAATTTCGTTCGTTTGTTTTTTTGGTGTTTGAGCAGGTTTTACCTCGAGGCACAGGGTTCGAGATGACCAAAAGAAGAAGTCTCGACCCAAAATAAAGAAAAAGAAAAGAAGTGAATTCAAAATGCAGAAGCAGATTAAAAGATGTGGGCTACTCAAGACATGACTAAAGTCACAAGCTTTGCATGTCCTGTCTTGATCCGAAAAGCCGAAGAAGAATGAACTAGCACCTACAGCTAGCAAGCATCAAGGTTCATATCAGAGTCTGCTTGAACAACCAGTCAAGACTCAAGATCAAGTTTCAAAAGACTTATAGATAGCAATCTTGTAACTCATAGCTGAAAGGTTTAGTTAATCTTTTTCATTTTTGATTTTGATGTAATAACAGGACCGCGGATCGGAACCTCGACGGAACGGTACCTCACTCGACTCTCTCATCCTCTTCACACACTCCATCACTCCATTCATTTCTGAACTACACGTGGCCTGATTTCTTTATAGCCGAGGATATGTAGGCAGCTCAGATACCAGGGCTCGGTCATAATCTTCTATCCATCTTTCTTTTCTTTTGAATAAGTGTCGGGTAAGAAATCAATTACGTCGCTTACTTATTTTTTTGCTCAAAAACACTTCGTGTTTCCAAGCAAAGAGGGGCGGCTGTAAGCATGTAATTTCTAACCCGCATATTAGAATTATCTTTAAGAGTCTTAGTATTTTTAGAATATTTATTTAAGTTTATTTCTATAGGATTTCACTTTATTATTAATTTTAATTCTAGTTTTGAAGCACAAAATTGAAAAATACAAAAAATAGCTTCATATAGTTTGCCTTAATTAAATGGAATTAATTTTATATTTAATAGTATATATTAAAATTGTTAAGTTTCTTAATTGATGAACTTTAAGAGTTGAAATCCTAAATTTTGAGCACAAACATGGTCACTAAAGGTCCAAATCTGATCCCAACTCGGTCAAGCCCATACCCACTCCTCATTTGACCTAATCTAATTCCTACTCCCTACAAAGGGAGCTCACACTCCTTGAAGGGACCTCACGGCCGCACCTCCAATGGAGAAGGAGGGGATCTCCATCGTGACCTTGGTTTTGATAAGAAAGAAGAAGATGCTCCCTTCCTTCTCCACTCCCAGCATCAAGCACATTCCTTAGCACAATCAACCAGCCAACAACCACCCCAAAACAACCTCCAAAACTCAGCAAAATTTCTATCCAAAAACTCCAAGAAGCGCAGTACTTCAGCTCCAAAAAGTCATGAAAATGCAGTTGTAGCACCGTCCCTTTTAGCACCCTTAAATAGCCATGTTTTCACATTAATATTCCAGCCAAACAACCTCCAAAATACCATTGTTTCAGTCCAAAACCCAGTTCAAAAATAGCCGAAAACAACCTCAAAATCAGCCGGAGTTCAGCTTCGTCGTTATGGTTTAGTTCGAGTTTTCCGGCGAACTTCCGGCCGCCGTCGAGGTCCGTTCGTGGTTCAGTTCATGTTTCACTGTTGCTAGATGATTTCAGGCGGAGGTTCTGTACTAACTCAATATTCAGAAAGGAATTTTTGCTACTTGAAGGTTCACTCTTCCCTTTTACCCATGTTATACTATCTATCTTCCTATTATTTGTTTTGATTGGTACTCTATTACTTGGGTTTATTTTGCTTTTATATTTAATCAGCATATAGTTTTCAATTAACGTTATTGAGTTGGTTTAATGAAAGTTGAGACGTAACCTTTATAGGTTCAGATTGGATTGAAACAGTGTTTGTAATCAAGGGAGTTAGCTTTATAAATGTGAAGCGGACTTGGATAAATATGTCTAATGGTTGGGTAAATATGATCTGACTTAGTATTATTTAGTCTAGAATTAAAAGAATCAAGAATCAGCTTTGTTGCTTATATTATTCTATTGAGCCGTAGGGTTGGACACCAAGAATGAAAATTGAAGTTATCATGTTAATTGTGTTACTTGATTTGCTTGGATCGCTCGTAGCATGCTAGGCCGTACGTTCATTATGCAAACTTTAGGAGTTTCTATTTTAGCATCGAGGCAAGAGGTTGTCCCCCTAAGTTTATTATCATCTGGGGAATGCCTTGAAGAATTTGTACATATTTTATCCACGGTATACCCCGTAGTACATGTAGTTGGAGGCCATGATGGGTGTGGTGGAGGAAGCATTAGTATAGGCTAGCGTTAATTAAATAAATCATCACGGCTATGGGTACGGTTCTCGTGGCATAGTCGTGATATATAATCCCCAATTCGGGTACGTATTTTATGTGACCCGACTATAACTTCAAATAATAATAAAAAAATATATGTTGTAGATCGTGGATACGGTTCACGTGATGTAATTCGTAATGTGTACAAAAATAAATAAGTGCGCGACATCGCGAGTTGTTCAAACAAATTCCATAAATACTAAAAGCAGTTTTAAAAGGTAAAAATGCATAATAGGTCTCAAATGTGCATTAAATCAGATAATTAGGCCAATTATTAATAGTTGAGCGACCGTGCTAAAACCACGGAATCCGGGAGTGCCTCACACCTTCTCCCGAGTTAACAGAATTTCTTACCCGGTCTTCTGTGTTCGCAGACCATAAATAAGAGTCAACATTTTCTCGATTTGGGATTTAAAATGAACCGGTGACTTGGGACACCATAAATTATTCCAAGTGATGACTCTGATTAAATAAATAATCCCCTTTCGATTAATGTTACTTTAATTGGAAAAACTCCCATACCCCCTCGGGAAAAAGGAGGTGTGACACCAGCATTTTGATATGAGATTACGAGGTTTGTTATTCTGGGCTTTTTGATAGTGAGGTTTGAATTTATTTTCATAAACTAACTGTTTTACTTTCATTTTCTATTTTCTTTTCCTGTTATTATTAATTAATTGTGTGGAGTCACTATATCATATTTTGTTGAGTTGTTGGTAACATAATGGTTTAATAAAAATGATTATTAACATGCTTTATTCTATGTGCCTCTTAAGATAGAACTCATTATCTCACTCGGTGCCTTATTATTCTAAATGGTTATCGCACTTTCACTATAATTGGGTTCTCAAATTATACTCATCACCTTGTTAGATGTTTACCTTATTTAAAATTGTTATCATGTTTTTCCTTAACAAATTCTATATTTAATTCATTAATTTAACTTATGTTTATTTTTGTTTAAAAGTGATACTTTTACTCAATTTTATTGATTTCTAAACTAAACCCATCTTATACTCTGTTTCGTACAAATTGTATATTATTTTGCTTTACTTGATTTCTAAAATATACTCATTATTTCATTTGACACCTTACTTTATTTAAGATTGTTATTATGCTTTATGGTGTTTAAATATATCTTTCGTTCATCTAAATTAATATTTATCATAGTTACAAAGTACATGGTAGCACGTGGGCTTTGCCGTGCGAAGGTGATTGTTATTGTGGGCACGATGTGCCATATGTGTTGTTGAGAGTTGTGTCTACGCGGCGGGAGACTTCAAGGTATACCTGCTTGATGTTCGCAGGCCTCAGAGTCACCATCTTACTTCACTATGCTATTGTTAAATTGTAATTCAAAACAGTATTGTGTTTAGAAATTCTAGTGTGTTTTAGTAGTGCTTATGACTCCGTACTACCGGTTTTGGAAAATGTATAACTATTGGCCACTTACGGGTATGTATGTCATTTAATGATTTATGATAAATGATATAGTTCAATTATGTTATTAAATCAACATGTGTTAGGCTTACCTAGTCTTAGAGACTAGATGCCATTACGACATCCTAAGGTGGAAAATTGGGGTCGTGACAGAAATCATGAACAACGGAGTAAGAGCCCAACCATAACGGCCCACCAGAATATTCGTGGGCCTAATCTTTAACTCTGATCCGATGTTTTTGGGTTTCTTTCACAGGACTTTAATCAAATGTTGATATAGCTTGCAGTTCATGACTTTTATTGAACTTACATTTGCAGGATAGAGGATAATAATTCTAATAACGAGCTATCTTCATCTCAATTATAATTGATTTGTAGAATAAACAAGTATGGAAAATCAAGAGATGAGAATTTCTTTAATCTGCACTTTAAGCTTTTCAATCTTATTACATAAAAGGTAATTAATCATCGTAAATTTCCCCAATCGTGTAGACATGAAGCAAAGAGTAAACACTAGTCAGAAAACTTAATGCCAAAAAATAATGTAGATGCATGAAAGTACACTAAATCAGACATAAAAAATGACCCCAACAAAAGAAAGAAAAAAGACCGTATTATAATTTTTCATATTTGTATCCTCTGCTTGCATGTTCAGTACGACGATGCTTTCTTTGGCTTCATACTTTAGGCACTGCTGATGAATTTTCATTAGCTTCCTCAGTGTGCCCATTTGAGCATTCTTCAATTATAGGCATTGCTGATGCATTGTCACTGGGCTTCAACAATGGCACCCTACTCACAGACATTGATTTGGACAAGCTGATAGAATCACCTATAATGGGCTTGGGCTCCACAATCTCATCTGTTTTGTACTTGTACCAAGAGGCCCAAAACAGGTAGTTCAGAAAGTTGAGCCCACTTAGAATAGCCAAGAACCAATAGAAGAGGTGCAAATTATTCTGATCCAAGTCTAACCCCACTAACCATCCTTTCTTGCTTGGTGCTCTTCTTTTAGTCACTGAATTGATAATTTCTACAAGTACACTACTCAAGAAGTAACCCAAAGAAATTGAAATCCATGTAAATGAAGTGGATAAAGACCTCATTCCAGCAGGTGCTTCTTTGTAGAAAAATTCAAGCAAGCCCACTAAAGTAAACATGTCAGCTATTCCAAAAATAGCATATTGAAATCCTAGCCAAGCTAGATGAATAGGCTTCAATGGATTTTGCAAGGAATGGTGCTTTCTTTTGATCTCAACTAAGGCAGCCACAGCCATGGACACGATCGATAGGACTAGCCCGACCCCAACGCGTTGGAGTTGAGTGATCCCCGAGGGATGTTTGGTGATTTTTCGAGCAAAGGGGACAAAGAACATGTCATAAATTGGGATGAGAATACACATGAAGATTAATGGGATCGCGGGCACTGAGGGTGCTGGTACCTCGAACTTTTTAATGAAACGGTTCATTCGATAGCCTTGTGCGACTGAGAATGTTTGGAGTTGGGCCATACATGTGTTCATTATAATTGTACTAGCTATGATAGGCAACATTCTTGTTAACACTTTCACTTCTTCAATTTGTGTCACAGTACAAACTGTCCAGGGAGTGGCCTCAACTGTTTTAGGAAGGGTTGCAGCTTTGTCTAAGAACCTGCTTCGCAATATATCAACAGTTACTATACGTACTCATAAACAGAAACCACAAGACATTAATTATTAAGCCACTAGGAATTATATATGTAAAGGTCGCGCGTGTCTTTGTGTATATCTAAGAAAATTAACAAAAATGACTAACTATACTAGTACTAATTAGATAATACATTATGAAGCTGAGAGTGAGTTAGAAAGTGGAAAAGTGAAAAGTACTATAGTAAAGAGAAAGTTTTAGGCTTATTGACGTAGTAGTGAGAAGACAGAGACAACCTTGGCTTGTAACTTCTGAAGAAGGCAATGATGTTACTAATTATACGTACGTTAATTAATAGGGGTATTCATTTGCTGGTTACTTTGTATCGTTTGGGGTTTTTTTTTTT